GCCGCCCCCCCACTCCCGCCCAGGCGCACATGGTGGGGCCAAACGCGACGTGCGGCGGCGCCCATGAAACACAACGGGTTGCGAAGGCCCCGCGCAGATCCCACGCGACCATTGCGGAATGCGCGCAAAGCTACCTGCGCGCACGAGCGCGAACGCTCGCGGCGCCAATTGCCACGGGCAAACATGGCCAACGCGGCCGTGACATTCTGCGTGGGGCAAAGCTGACTGCGCAAGGGTCGGCCAAGGACGCTTGCGCCACTCGTCCTGGCATCGGCTGCCACAGGGGGCAGCGGGCGGCGCTAAGTAGGCCCACGCGTTGCCCATGGCGCCGATGTCCGACCGCACAACTGGCGCGATTGCAGTTTAATGTGGCAAGGGCGGCGCAGGGACGGGGCGCGTGGCGAGGCAACGCAATCTAGCATGGGCAAGACAAGGACAGCCCTGTAGCGAGCAGGAGGACGCGCGACAACAAAGGCATCGACGTGTCAGAGCACGGCGTGGCTTTGATGAGGTCGCGGCCGCCGCGTGGATGGCGCGCGCGGCCTGCGCCGAATTCGCGCGCTGACTGCGGCGAGCGCGCCGCCGCCCCGATCGGCAACAAACGGTGGGCAACGGGCGTGGGAACAAGCCACGATTGGCCGAACCCGTAAGAGTTTGGGCAACTACGCGCCAGGATGGAGGCACGATGGCGCCCAAATGCGCCGATGCGGCTGCAAACGCACGCGTCGGGTAAGCGCGCTGCGCTGGGGCGCCATTGAACTGCGCAGCCGCGCAATCCATATCTGGCTTGACCCTGCGCGCCGTAGATTGAACGACATAGCAGCGCGTTCCCTCGCACGGACACTGCCAATCGCGTTCCGCGTTCCTGTGCCAACCGCATGGCTTGAAAAAAAAACGCGGGACCCGTTTGGCTACCCGCTGTTGCCCAATGCGGGGCGTCGGCACGCGGCAAGCGCAAACGACAAATTGACGGTGGCGCTCGGGAGCGGCGCGCTTGACCAACATGCGACACGCGCAACTACAGCGCAAGCCCGAATGCCGCGCGAAGCTCTCAAGCAGTGCTTGGGCGCGCAAACGAATCGAACGCAACAGGTTCGAACGTTTGCGCGCCTGTGCCTCTAAAAGGCGATGCGCCTGGCCGCAAGCAACGGACAGGGCACCAACTGCGATGAAAACGCCGCAGGGCGCGAGTTGGGCTTGGATGCCGTTGGGGGACACATTGCTTGAAAACGTGTCTGAAGCTGGGCACATTGGAAGGTAACCCCCGCGACGTCCTCGGCGAACCGCAGAGGTTGACGATAGAGGGTGCTTGGCCTCCCCGTTGGCGCCCGCACGTTGCGGCGCTGACATGGTCGAGCGATGCGCCGCTCTGCGCGGGCTCAACGCCCGCGCGCTCGTCGGCAACAACGAACAACATCGCCCTGCAGAAGACCCCGCGCGCAAAACTGCCAGTTGCCGTGTCGGCTGGCACCGATTGGGCAGCAGCCGCCTGGACTTTGACAGCGCGCGTCGCTCGGGCAGCTGGCGCGCGCGCCAGCAAGGGGGGCGATGAAGAGAGCGTTGCAACGACGACCATCAATGGGCGAACGCCTCATTTAAATGGGGCAACCCCTATCGAGCGCCATCGGCTCGCGACCGAGCGGCGTTCGCAATAGCTCCTGCGCGCGGTGTTGCGCGTCGGGCCCTGGCGGGCCCCAGTGGCCAGGGCGCCCTGGTGCACGCACCAGAAGGGGCTAACAGTGCCCCATCGGACGCCCGTAGGCTCCGCTAGGATGAGCCATGGAGGAGGAGGGGGAGGAGGAAATGATGATGATGAGGGGGAGGGTGATGGGCATGCTGATGAGGAGGATGCTTAACGCCTCGCTGTTCTTAGCACCCTCCTGGGTTCGACATGGCTATAGCCTTCTTCCTTCTTGTGAGCATACCCCTCCGCTTCCCCCCATCACCCTCGCCATGCAAGCGGCCCGACGGGAAAGGCCGCGTCGGAACGGGGACAAGGGCAGCTAAGACAAGGTGGAGGGTGGGAAGCGCTTGGAGCGACCAGCGGCCGCGCGTGGGGAGAGGCAACGAAACGTGCAATGCACCTTCTGCCCTTTCCCCCGCGCCAGGCGCTAACCGCCCTCACCTCGTCGAAGCCGCCACGGGTGCGACCCTGTCCCCGCCCGCCAACCCTCTAACAACAGTCAGCTTAGGACCATGTTGCAAGCCTGCTACATCGCGGTGGCCATGGCCGTTTTCATGGACGCGCAGGGCGAACACGCGCGGCCCGATTGTGATATGACAGAGCGCATCCTACCCACGTGCGGAAAACAACACGAGTGGGTCTGAACGTGAGTGGGTTGAGCACGAGTGGGCCTGGGAGTGAGTGCATGAGCGCGCGTTGCGTGAGCACCATATGGGCACCTTAAGGAGGCCCGACGACACTTCAATGAGGCCCCACGGCCTGCCTCGAGGCCAGCCCCCAAACAAACACCCAGACAGACCTTACGGCTGGCCCCATGCGGAAGCCACAAAGCACCCCAAGATGCCCCCAAGATATCATGCAGGCCCCAAGACACCACTGAGGAAGCCCCACGGCACCCTGATGAGGACCCGATTGTACCATCAGGGGCCTCACGCTATTCCTTTTTCTCAAGGGTCCCGGATCGGCTCGCCATCCACGTCGCCGTCGTTCTCGCCCCTCTCCTTCTCGGCCAGGGCCCTGAACGACGGCTCCCCGCTGGCCAGCGCGTCCCGCCGCGCATCCCTGCGCTCGGCGTGGTCAGGCTTCCACGCGTGGACGTGGTCCCATCGTGTGATCCCCGTCTCCTCGGTCACGCCGAGCCACGCGCACATCAGGCCGAGGCACCTGCCTTTCGCCCTGTTGCTCTTCATCTCTCGGCAGGTTCGGGTAAGGAAGCATCCAGAAGCCTCGCCCTGGTGTGATGGCACCAAACACTGCGCCACCATGGTGCTCGTCGTGCCGTAAAATCGAATGATGCCGCTGCGGTGGCGAACCGCAATCTCAGCGGGCACCTTGCCGAGATGCTTCGGGCCGCCCGCAACTCCTCCGCCCAGCGCTGCAGGTGGAGGTTCAAGCGGCGCCGCAGGCGGCGGCACTGGGGGCGGCGGCAACGGTGGTCCGAAGAAGACGTCCGCCATCGCCCCGTCGATGTCGGCCGCGACGCCGTCGTGCTCGCCTTCGCCGCCGTCGCCGCCAGCGGGATGGGCATCACCGCCCTCGCCGCAGCCTCCGTCACTATCAGCGTCCTCGGGAACGCTGTCGCCCTCAGCGGACTCTGTGGTCTCGCCATGGTCCTCGTCCGGATCGGACGAAGCCTCGGCGCCGCCGCCCTCGCCCTCGGCGGGGTCGTCGGAGTCCGAACTCGACGAGCTCGAAGAGCTCGGCGAGCTCGACGAGCTCGAACTGGAGCCAGACTGGCTGCTCGCATCGCCATCGGCAAGCGCCGCAGCCCTGCCCCCGCCCCTGCCGCGCCCGCCGCGCCCGCGGCCCTGGCGCCCAGCGCGGCCCCCTCCTGCAGCGCGCCGCTGTCGGCGAGCCTTGGGCCGAGGCGGGTCGACCTCGGGAGTCTGGCGGCTGATGTGCAGCTTCCATGGTTCCACGCTGGCGACCTGCCTGGACCGAGACACGAACCGCCAGAAGCTGATCGCCCTGATCTGCTCCGCCTCGAAGCTCTTGATCATCTCCCAAAGGGATCGCCAGAACATCTTCGGATCCTCGACCCGAATCGGTGACACCCCCAAGATGTCGCCGCAGCCCCTGGGCTGGTCCCTCTCCAGCCCGACCACCGTGGGCGAGAAAGGCTCCTGGAAATCGAAAGCGACATGAAAAAAACGATGAACGATTCCATCCTCACCAGCACCGCACTCAACGACATCCAGCCCCGAGCCGCCCGCAGCATCTGCCCCGGCCTCTTGAATGGCCGTGGTGCTGGTGAAGCGGAGCACGCCGTCGCCACTGGCCAGCAGTGCCTTCATCGGAGAGCCCCCCCTGGCTGCTTCATGCAATCACAGCTGCGCTGCCGCCGAAAAACCTCTGAGCCCCGTGAGGGCCCCTCCAGAAAACTCCCCAGGAAACCTCTGAACCCCCTAAGGGCCACTACAAAACCAAGGGATCTGCATCTGTGAACTTGTTCCGAAGCCCAAAGACCCTGCACGGCAGCACAGCGCCCCTCCCCTTGCAGGCCCCCAAGGTGGCCCTCGACACCCACCGAAGGCCTGAGTCATGAAACGGAGGCACGTCAAGATCGCGATGGAACCCCATCGCGATCTTGACGTCCCTCACAAACGCGGCCGTCGATTGTTTCAAAAGGCTGGATTGTAAATCAAGGCTTCCTGGGGACATTCGGGGATGGGGCTCGCAGGGCTGCAGGCGCGGGGGCGCTGGGGGCCGACCTCCCCGCCCCATCCCCTGCATGCGAGATCGGCGAACGTTTGCGACAGCAACCCCCCCTTCCTCTGCCAGACAGGCTGCAAAGCAGGAACCGTGGCGATAGCGCGACCTCGAAGCAAAAGGGGGGCCAGTGGGGATCCCGAAGAGGCCCCGACTAGATGCGGCGGCACATTGCCCTGCTCCCTAAGACAACCCGAAGCCCAATCGAACTTATATCTGGCACCCCCCTGAGGCCTCATCCGCATTTCTTCGAAGCGGCCTTCGAAGGCCGCGAATGCGATCAACGACGCCAAGGGCTGGCACGGCGACGCCTCCGTGAGAGGGCCCCGAAACGCACAAGCGTAGTTGGCCACCTGAGGTCATCGCCCACCCCCCTGGCACCCCTCGTCTGCTGCCCCCAAGAGGACATCGCAAGGCTTCCGAGGCACGCAAAGGCTCGTTCCTGGCCCCTGGGGCCCACTGGGCGGGACCTCCCGAAGGTCCCCAAAGGCTGGCCCAGCATGCGACCCCCTCCCCCCCCCCCCCCTACCGCCAGCGAAGGCCAAGAGATGTCCTTGAGGGCCTAAGCCTTCAAGGAATCTGTGGCATTCGTTGAACGCTGCTGCTACTATGATTGCATGAAGCCTCCAAGGAGGCGCGCGGGAGCCTTGGCGGCCTTCTTGCCAAGCAACGAGTTGCGAAGGAGAATGAACACGAACTTGACGTGCCGCTCGATCAGCCGCAGCCCGATGCCGTCGCCCTCGTGGATGCAGGTCTCCGCCTCGTGGCAAACCCTGCGGTCGATGGCCACTCTGCCCAGGCATGGCACGTTGGACTTCGTGAAAGTCGTGCGCAAGGCTTCCCACCTCGACGCTCGCTGATCCACCGACTCGCCGCTGCTGCCGCCAAAGCTCTGGCAGGCGTCTGCAACGACGTTCGGCGCGCGCCTGCGATACCTGAGAACCGCGCCCGTATCGACCTGGACCTCGACGTCGGCGACGGGGCCAGCGGCCCGATCCACGAGCGCGAGCAGGCTGCCGTCCCGCTCCAAGCTGGCCTGCCTGGACGCGCGGGCAGCATCGCGCACCGCGGCCGCCACGCGGGTCTCTTGCGAGCCCTCCCTGCGACGTCGGCGGGAGGCCTCCTCCCGAGCAGCCGCCGCAGCCTCCAGAATCGACGAGCGAACGTTGGCGAACTGAGATACCTGCGGCGCGACACCCTCTGCTGCTGGACGCTTGCTCCGAGGGCGGCTCGGCTCCATGCCGAGAGCTAGCGCGCCGTCCGACGCCGAGGACACCCTCGGCTTCCGACGCCTGTCAAAGCCACGCTCCCCAGACAGATGGCGATCCCTCGCAATGGCAGCCAGCAGCCTGTACTGATCAAGCTCAGGCCCCTCCAGCTGAGAATACATCTCCGACAACTCTGCAGCAGTCCCATCAGATATGTACATGCCGTTCACGTGCACGAATGCGCGCCACATCCACTGCTGGAGGCTGTTGCGACCGCGTCGCGGGCCCTGCGCCTGGCGCTTCCGCCTCGGGGCAGGGCCTCTCCGAAGGTCGGTCGGGCAAGGTGCTGAATCGACGTCGAAATCACTTGCCGACTGCGCCGTGAAATGGGCACTCACCTCTGCGACGGTCTCGACGTGTGTCCAAACCCTGAAGCGCGCACTCCTCTGGTTCACCGAATGCAGCCGTTCCACGTCGGCGGTGTCCATGTCGGCCATGACCAGGACGCCCTTCAGTTCATTCGATGCCTCCTGCGAGCCCAAACGCCCATGGTAGAACTTCGCGAAATCCAGGGAGTACGGGTCCAGAAGGCAGGGCTTGGTCGCACCGAGAGCGTGCAAATGTGCAGGCTCCTTGAGGGCATACAACAACGGCATCGGCCAATTCCGATTGGCCCTGTGCACAAGATGGTATGCGACCCCGCCCATCCTTGACATCAAACGGTAAACCTTCAGCGACACCGCCTCCGTATGCTCCTGCAATGGAGACCACGATGCTGCGTTGAAGATTGACTCGTAGCATGTTCTGAACAACTCATGGGTGTCCTCGTCCTCATGAGCCAGCCACACTTGATATGTCCTCGGCTCTCCGCGGGACACCCTGCGCTGCTGCAGCTTCTCGAATGCCGAGCCGCTGGAGGCCAACTGCCGCGTGACGTAGGAGTCCGTGCGCACGGCCAGCACCGAGCCGATGAACAGATCGTCAGCGACGGCGCCGCTGAGCATCCAGGCGCGGCCGCCAGCAACTCGCTGGTCGTGCTGCTCCCTGAAGGCGTTCACGTCGTCCTGGTCTGCTGGGTCCCCGCCGTCTGGGCCGTCGGCCGAGGGCTGAGGTCCAGCAGGGTCGGCGCCGCCGTCTCCAGCGGCACGCTGCTCGGCATCCCCTGGAGGAGCGCCGCCACCAGGCCCAGCAGCAACAGCACGTGGCGCACGGGCTGCCTTCCCTGGCAGCGCGCGCAAGTAGGCTGCCTGCAGAATACCATGGACAGACGCTGGCACACCAATGGATCGGTGACTGTGCATCTTGTCAGCCCAGTTGGCTCTGTCTAGAACGCCAATCCTGCCGAACAGCGCAGGGACCCCAAACCTCCTCATCAAGAACAGAGTGTGCTTGGGCGATTGACAACATCCTCTGCAATAGTGCTCAATGACGCCATGCTTGCGAATATCTCCATTGTACAATCTTGAAACAACCTCCTTGCGACACGCAAGTATTGGGTCACTTGAACCACCAAAGTAAAGGCCCCAAATGGCGTCGCGGTGCGCGGTGGCTGCCGCTGGGGGTACACCTCCTCTGACCACGAGCTGCTCTCCATGGATCAACCTGGCCTGGTGTCTCAGCTCGAGAAGGTGATCACCCGCCAAGGACATTTGACATCGAACGAGGTTCGTGTCGAATGGCCTGATCGCGATGAGCCCCTGCTCGGCGACCTTCTTCTTCTTGTGTGCCCGACACAACAAGGTCAGCTGAGACCTCCGAGGGAACGCTTCTGCAAAGGCACGCTCGTCTCGGAGGTTGCCACTGGCAGCGTCGCAGCACGCGATGTCCACCTGCCTGGGGACCATCAGGTCGAGGGGGCCGTCGCAAGGCAGATCCAATTGCCTGCGCAGAGCCGCGTGCACGACCTCAGCAGAAGAGCCGTCGAGCACACAAAGATGCGTCGGCACAGTGCCATGCACGTGCAAGAAGTCCGCAGCACCACCATCGGCCCTGCGTCGCATCATCATGCCGAACTGGCCCTTGGCGACGAAAACGTCGCGAGCGCCAACCGTGTGCTCACAGATGACGTCGTCATCGTACACCTGCGACACGGTGGTCGTGAGCTTCATGCGTGTGCCATCGTATTTGCGCTTTCGGAAGAACACCAATGGCGCGGTGACAGCACTACCGAGCTGCTCCCGAGAGGCCCTGCATGCGCCAAGCATGCGGTCGATGACGGACAGCACGTGCTCTCGCGAGGCCACGAAGGTCGCGTGAGCAACAGCATACACGCGTTCTCTGAAGTGTCCTCGCGGTATGCCCAGTCGTTGTCCCACCGAGAGCGCGCTCGACAAGGTGACGGCGCCGCCGTCGGGGAACCTCTTCTCGACCATCACCAGCGCCAAGCTGGCCAGAGGGCCTACCGAGTGCCGTCGGCCGCCGCCGCTGCCAGCGGCCTCCACCAGCGGGCCTGCCACGGCGCGCGCGGAGGCAGGCTGGCGCAGCACGATCCCCTGGCCGCCGCCCACCTCGGCGCTCGGGGAGCGAGGAGGGCTGTCCGCCAGCCAATCCTCCTGCTCCTCCTCCGCCTGCGGGCCGTCGCTTCCAGCAGCGTCAGCCAGGCGGCCATCAGGAGTCGGAATGGAGGGAACCCCCCACTCCTCATCGGACAAGAAAGCCTCCGATGGCGAACTCATCGTGGGCAATAACAAGGCCGAGTGATGTTTGAGCCAAAATGGTTACGGCACGCGTGTTTAGCATTGCACATTGATCCAATATCGGCAGACCCCTCACACAGATCGCACATGCTTAATGTTATTTTGCGGGGGCCATCGCTGCCCCAACTTTAAGTGAGATGTGTTGAATGGAGCGTGTGTCCGATATGTGAAGGGGCGCGTTGAGTACCACCGCGGGGGAGGCTACTTACGGGGTCTGCCTAATCTCCCCCTCTAGACCATGGCACGCGAAACATTGCCATCAAGCTTCTCGCAACCTGCCGACCCCCCAGTAGGAGGGAAAAGGAGCATGAGCACGACTTGCCTTGTCTCCCCCTCCTCCGCCTCCTCCTCCGCCTCCTCCTCCTCCCCCTCCTCCTCCTCCTCCTCCTCCTCCTCCTCCCTCCCCCCGCCTCCCCCTCCTACTTGTGATTTGCCATTTTTGCTGCCTCTCGAAAAAACAAAAATGGCATCAACCTTTTGCTGGTGGCCCAACCAGGGCCATCAGACCCGCTACTCCCAAAAGCTGCACCCGACGCGGGGCCCATCAGACCCCCAACTCCGAAACGACACCCCACAGGGCATCAAAACCCATCAACTGCTCCAAGACCAGATAGACTGCCACGGAACTCTCAACCATGGAGCCGAGATCGCTTCCCTGGAGTTCCGAAAAAGGACCTTGGACCCCGAGGCTAAGTGAGTGCGGGGGTAGGGAGATTTGAACAAGTGGGCCCAGAGGCCCATACGCAAGTTTAAACAAAGAAAGTTTCCTCTCCGCCCCTGTCGCGGTTCGAAACAAGTCGCCTGGCCCAGAGGTGGAGACAATGAGCTGGAATCGGCGTTAAATCGCCGACACATCAGCTATAGGCCCCCGATGGAGACACGGCACGTTCCTGGGCGGGGTGGGGCCCAGGCACTGGTTGGCGATGAATGGACGACTGTGGGACGGCGCTCCTCTTTTAGGCCGTCCCCTCCTGCCCTTGTCCCGGAGCCCCCCCCCAGGACCCCGATCCCCCGATCTCCAGATCCCCCGCCCTCCAGACCGTGATCCCGATCCCCCCTTTTCCCCGCCATCAGAATCCCGCCCCAGGACCTCTGTTCCCCGATCCCGATCCCGTATCCCCCGATCTCCCGATCCCCCGTTGCCACGAGCCCCTCCCGAGCTCCGCAGAAACCGAAAACGGCGGGCAGTCGCCACGCGCCCCGTCGGCACATGCGCGCGTCCAGGCCTCGCCGCGGGGCTCATTGCGGGCGCCCGCGGTGCCGCCGCCACAAGCGAACCTCGGCAGCAGTCCTGCTGTTGAGATAGGGGGCCACATGCGAACCCTACCCCTACCCCCCACGATTTCTGAGGGGGGATAAGGGGGAGGGTTCGTATGTGGCCCCCAATGAGATTCGCTCCAGCAGCCCCCTCCCGAGCCCCTCGATTCGGGGGCGCGCAAACATGGATTAGCGATCCATGGATTTGGCGCGCGGTCGCCAAACCCATGGATCGGGGGAGGTGCCCTCCCCAAAATGCGGCCGGCGCCGCCTCGCTCGGCGGCGGAAATCCGCGACTCCCCACGGAAGCGGGAGCCGTCGCTAACCCACGCCCTCTTGATCCATGTTTGCGATCGCCTGATCGCCTGATCGAACCCTACCCCTACCCCCCACGATTTCTGAGGGGGGATAGGGGTAGTGTTCGCATGTGGCCCCCATGAGATTCGCTTCAGCAGCCCTTCCCGAGCCCCTCGATGAGTATCGTTCAACCGATCCCGATCCCCAGCGGCGTGGCCTGGGCCCCACTGCCCGATTTACCCCCCCTAGATGGGAATATATGTCGTTCTCTTCGGGTGTGGTAATTTGGTGGAGGTCTCGAAGGCGATGGAGATTGGAATGGGGATCGGACAAACGATACCGACTCGACCCCGCCCCCGCCCTCGGGGCCCCCCGCGCGCCGCGAGCGCGCCGTGGGGGGGCGACGGGGGCCTCCGCGGCCCGAGCAGCCCGCTCCACAGCGCCTGGGCCGCCGCGCGTACGTCGCCGCTCGCCCCGGCACCGCCTGCCGCGGCCCAGGGGGATAGGGGACGTCCACGATTTGGCGGCGCGCACAAAGGGGGCAGGAGGAGGAGGAGGAGGAGGAGGAGGAGGAGGAGGAGGAGGAGGAGGAGGAGGATGGGAGGAGGAGGAGGAGGAGGAGGAGGAGGAGGAGGAGGAGGAGGAGGAGGGGAGGAGGAGGAGGAGGAGGAGGAGGAGGAGGAGGAGGGGAGGAGGGAGGAGGAGGAGGAGGAGGCGAGGAGGAGGAGGAAGGAGGAGGAGGAGGAGGAGGAGGAGGAGGAGGAGGAGGAGGAGGAGGCGGAGGAGGGAGGCAGGGAGGAGGGAGGAGGGAGGAGGAGGAGGGGAGAGGAGGAGGAGGAGGGGGAGGAGGAGGAGGAGGAGAGGGAGGAGGAGGAGGAGGAGGAGAAGGAGGAGGAGGAGGAGGAGGAGAAGGAGGGGGGGAGGCCTCTTAGAACGAGGCTGCTTCTAAGAAGGCGACGACCCCACATCTACACAGACAAGACCAGCGCCTTCTAAGAAGCACGGGGTGCTTCAATGAAGACTTCCCCCCTCCCCCTACCCCCCCTGCGCGTGGCTGACAAGAGGGGGGCGTCCAAGAGGGTCGGAGGCCGCCAGCGTGTTAGAGATGAGTGGACCTCGACAACATCGGGAGAGAGAGGCGCCCGAAGACGGCCTCTGGAGGCCGAGCAAAGACAATAAACGTTCTCCGAGCCGCCAAGACCTCGAACCTCCTTCCCCCCCTTTCTGCTCGCTGGCACCAGTGCCGGGCCACCTCAGACCCCCCAGCCAGCTCCGACAGAAGAGGGCTCGCAAATCACGGCCCGAGACACGTGCACGGCCCCGGGTGGGGTCCAGGGACGTGAAAGAAGAAGAGTTGGAGGCCTGGAAATGGGCACCAACACCAACACAGGGGGGTGCCTCCACAGGGGGAAGATGATCCTAGATTTCGATGTTGGTGGTAATAGTTCGGTCATCTTGGAAGCCAGAATATTACCACCATCTCCGAGATCGAAATCTTCTTCCCTCGGTGGAGGCACACCGCCGATATTGGTGTTGGTGTCAACCTGTAGGACTGCGAAAGAGGGGGCCATGAAGTCCAGGGAAATGTCTTGGCCCCAGCCTGGCAGCCTGGGGGAAGGTCGGGAGGGGACGCGCCCCCTGGACTTTGGCCTGACCGGCGTAAGGGAAAGGCTGGGGGGAGGGGGGGCGCGCCCCCAGACTCTGGCCAAGCCTTGGTGGGGAAAAGTCTGGCGGGGGCGCGCCACCTAGTCTTTGGCTCAGCCAGCGTGGGGGACATCTAGGGGGAACGCACCCGCAGGAGAAAGCCCAGGGGGAACGGGAACCCCTAGAGTTGGGCTGAGCTGATCCCTGTTCATTCGCCATTACTCCAAGAATCCGATTCGTTTTCTTCCTCCGCTTGTAAATACGCGTAAATTCAGCGGGCTTGCTGACCAAACTTCATGTATTCGTGAGGGTGCGCTGGGCACTAGACAACAAGGCCATGCTCAACGGAAAGAGAGCAGATTGGATCAGAGGAAAGATTCTAGTTGCTTGCGTGGGAAGACCCTGCGCATTGAATGCGCCCGAAGCTTCGAAGCGCTCTGGCACACCGCTCTGGAAAGCCAGAAGCTGAAATGATACATAATAGACACTGAAGCAGGCATACTGTCAGGGTTGCCCCGAAAGCGCAGTAGACGTTCAAGTCCTTACAAGTTCACACTGTGATGCGCCCTTCATCGTTGTTCGAGCCGAGACATCCGTCGCTGCAAGTTGCAAGTAAATGTTAATGGGAGACACTCAAAATATCCAAATACACAAAGGAACAAACAAACAATAAAAAGTACAGCAAGGAGAGGCACAGAAGATGGTCTGATCCTCGGGGGGGGGATCTTGGCCCATCCAGCGCAGGTTCGCTGGACTCCCTTGGGCCCCCGAGACTTCCCAGATCCCCTAGTGGGCCCAAGACCCCCCCGGACTCCCCCCCCTGCACTCCCAGAAAGAATACAAGGCAGGAGACCTTCCACCTGATGGAGTCCCCCTGGACTGGACTTTTCTGGGCTGCCCAAGGCATCCCGGCGCTGCCGACGGTCGGCATGCTAAGATCGAGCCTTGACTTGCCTTGACTATAGCACGCCCCAGGCGCCCTAAACTCCAACTGATACTTGAACCAGCGCCCCCTGAACGAGACTCCCACCTGAAGGCGCGACCAACAACAGCAGCAGCAACAACAGTCATGTTCACACTTTGCGCTCTTATCTTCTCGCGTGTCACTCAACATGTAGATGCCAAACCCTCGATGCCCGCTCTCTTCGTCGTCGATCATACCCCCTTGGGGGAATACCTTCCTTACCTGCCACGTGTAGTTGGCGCAGCACCTAAAAGAGGAAAAGATAGGAGGGAAGGGACAACGGGGATAGAAAAGGATGGAACACGACAGAGATTAGCAGGAGGAGGGTCAAGAGCAGACAAACAAGCGGCAGAACCAGACGGGCGGGTCGGGCGGGCGGACCCCAACGGGCGGGTCGGACGGGCGAGCCCAGACGGCGGGGTCGAGCAGGCGGGTCGCTGAAGCGTCAGTCCTGCATGAAATCGCAAACAAGTCTTTAGCGATAGCGCAAGTCGCAGGTAAATCGTAGGGAAACTCAAAGCCAGAGCGTGAATCCTGAGTACTGAGGGCGCGATGTTTCAACCAACTGCGAAGATACACTACGCGATAATGCGATTCCTGCATACAGCATCGGGAAATCCCACACGACAGCGTGACTTGTACTAAATTGCAACGAAATGTAAAGAGGGAGCCGGTGCTGCTGTAGTTCGGGGACGAACATGGCAGTCTGAGGCCCAAAGCTTTCCGTAGGAAAAAACTAGGTGCGAGCCCCAAGAGGGGCACTTCGGTTGAAAAACGATGGTCGCCAGCACGGGGGGGCAACAAGAATTATTATTTAAATGAAAACTTCACCACAATACAAAAAAAATATGCCAAATGACCGGGGATAGAAAAGGACCACGGAGGGCATCGGGGACGATCGAACAGCATCGGGGGATAATCTGACAGGACCATGGGGAAATAAGAAAAATCAAACAACATCAGGGAAGCATCAGAGGAAGATCGAGGACGATCGAGGCATATCAAACAGGCCTTGTGGGCGTAGGTAAGTTCAAAGAAACAACATTCGGACAGATTCTTCCGCCTCTCGAACAGGATGCACCTCTCCACCTTTCCCCTCTCCACGGGCCTGGAACCCCCCCGCGACGCACTGGAGAATAGCCCAAGATCGCTCCAACATGGCCACAGATAGCCCAGGATGGCCTACAAGATCCTACCACACAAACCAACTTTGCGCAAGATAACTCGCAACATGCCTCCAAGAGGCCTCAAGACCATCGCACAACGGCCCCAAGCGGCAACGGAGCTGCCCAAAGAGCCCCTCGAAACACAAAACCATTCGAGAACCATGAATGTGTGTTCCTTTCCCGCGTTTTCGCCTTCGACGGGCTTCTGAAGCTTCAAAATGGCCCCAAGATGGCACAAGCGTCTCAAAAGGTCCAAGAGGGCCCCAAGATGGCCCAAGGAACGTCCACCAGCGCCCCAAGTGCGCTCAACACGCCGCCCTCATCGGATGATGAATGGCCTCCAAGATGGCCCCCAACGACCCCAAGAAACCCTCCTTGATGAAGGCCCAACGAGGCCACGACATAGCCCAAGAGGCTTCCAGAACAGCCCCCAAAGGAGCCCAAGATGGCCTGAGCAAGCTGCCAAGTTATTTGTCAGATGTTCCTCAGATTCTGACATTCGAGCTTTGCCCGTACTCTGGTGTCCTGGCTCACGGATCCCCTTCTCTAGGATATTGCTGACGGATGGTATCTTCGCGAAATCAGGCGGCATGGCGCGCGGGCTCGCACGAAAAATAGGCAAGGGAGTGCGACAGCA